ACCCAATCCAGTTTATAGTTATTAGACACATAGTTCACTTTAATCATTCTTAAATAGTTGCAATCACTAACATCACTTTCATGCATTTTTTCATCATACTTGAAATCATCATCTAAAATAGGCCTAAGGCCCTTCCATCATAACTTGTCATGCATCAAGGTACAATTACAATATTTGCTTTACAACTTACAACTTACAAATTAAACTTAATTACAATCTTCCAATATTACAACTTAAATACAAATGGTAAAATAAACTACATGACATGACTACTAGACTTAGGCAAACATGAACAAATATGCTAATGAATCTCATCCTAAATTGTCCGATGTTGCTATGCTAAGCGAGCACCTAATGTCTATGATTCCTGGTGAAGAAAGGACTTTTTTGAGTTCGGATAAAATTCTTAAGCAAGGTGGGACTTCCTCTGTTGAGGATGATGAAATCACCCCTGAGATCTTAAATACATTATCATGTTCAGGGATTCCTGATAATAAATTAATCTTGAAAGTTAAAGTTCCAGTAATGCTATTAAGAAATATTGATCAGTCGAGAGGTTTATGCAATGGCACGAGATTGCTTATTACAAAATTAGGGAATCATGTTGTTGAGGCAATTGTACTTACAGGAAGCAATATAGGGGAAACTGTGTTAATCCCTAGAATGACGATGAGCCCATCGAGTCATACATTTCCTGTAAATTTCCAAAGAAGACAATTCCCCCTGATTGTATCGTTTGCCATGACTATCAACAAGAGTCAAGGACAATCACTTTCACATGTTGCAATTTATCTCCCTAAGCATGTCTTCACTCATGGGCAATTATATGTGGCACTGTCTAGAGTAAAGAGTAAGCATGGATTGAAGATATTGATACTTGATGAAAATGGCTGCGTTACGAATAGTACCCTTAATATAGTTTACAAGGAAGTATTTCAAAGACTGCTATAGTATATTGGGTTCTTTCTTCAAAGATATAACTTTGTTGTATGGTACAGGTAAAGACAAAAAAATGACTATTTATTCGCGTCTCTTTTCCTTATCTATCTTCAAAGATATGACCTTTATTATCCTATTTTCTTTCCTATTTTTAATGTAACAATGAATGATTGTTTTGTTATTTAAAAAAATGACTGTTTGGGACCTTTGAAATACTGACAAAATGAGTTCGGCCCGGAGGGCCGACCCACCACGTCAAACAAACCAATTTTTTTTCCCGTGCATCGGCACGGGTAATTAACTAGTTTATATATAAAATATATCCGGGTCAACCGGTTCAACCAGTGACCCACTGGCCATCGGTCCGGCCAGTAACTCAATGACTCATTACCTTAATAACAGTGATTTTATTTTTGATTGTATCAATTGTAATTTCAATTTATTACTTGATATTAATTTTTTTTTTATTCTATACAATTTCATTCTTTAGATTAAACATAATATTATATCATTTTTTTGGATATCAAAATAACTTTATTGCATCTAAAGGCCAATGCAAAAAAAAAAAAAAAACAGTGGATTCTCATGCTAGATATCAAAATCATAGGATCTAGGGAAATTAGCAAGCAAGAAGCATCTAAAAAATATCTTGTAAGATGGGGAACAGATCTTTTATAGAATAGCATCATATTACAACGGATGATCATATTTTTTTTTTGTTGAGGTCTATCAGTCTGTGCATTACATATAATAAAAAATTTGTAAAAAAATATGAGGAAAGTTATACTTACAATCTTTTTTTTACAACTTCTTACAATCATATCTTAACACCGTTGATTTTCGCCAATCAACGGTTATCATTTATTGTGAATTAATAATTAATTAATGAATTTAATTTGAGAAAATCATAACCGTTGATTGACGAAAATCAACGGTATTAAGATATGGTTGTAAGAAGTTGTAACAAAAAAATTGTAAGTATAACCTTTCTCAATATATATATATATATATATATATATATATATATATATATATATATTACTTTTTTGGAGTTTTTTATTATAATAATTTATTTTATTAATTCTTTTCAATGTTTGTTTGTAATACATTTGACGGCAATTAGTTGTAATAGAAGTGGGTTGTGATCTTAAACAAATATTACATACAATTTCAACGGTTTGAATCCAGAGCTTGGAAAAGGCTTTACCTAACCACCATCTTCAACTTGAGATATTAGTATTACAAATATACTTCTGGTGATATATATCTGTTAAAAGGTTAAAAAAAAAAAAAAACCTTAAAAAAATGTCTTACGAAATGAATAAAAAAATGTAAACTTATTCATAATAAAAACGGATAGCTATAATAAAAAATAAAATAAAATAATTTAATTTCCTCTTCCTCCGTTTGTATTCTGATAAACATCATGTATCATTGTTTTTAAATAATTTTTGAAACATTTGACGCACACAAATAATATCATCTATTTATGATGAAAATGTAAAATGTATCTATATATGGACAAAGTAAATATTCGGTCAAAGTAAAAATATTCAGTCAAAGACCAATTGAAAAGGTAACAGTGAATTTTTCAATTGAAGTAAGAAATAAAAGCCCAAATTTCTTGAATGATATTATTCCAGATTTTCTTTGCATTTTAAACCTTTGTTTAAAAAAAAAAGATAAAATAAAGATAAGAAAAGAACCAGGAAAAGAGACAAATACAAAGAGAAAAACAAATAAATAAAAAAGACGCAACGTGCTGGACAAATTTTGTTTCTAAATACAGATATTGAAATTAGTAAAACTTTTGATAATTAAAAAAGGGCAAGTTATATTTACAAACTTTTTTGTTTACAAACTCTTACAAACTACACTATATTTTCCCGGAAGAATATAAACTTTTACAAACTACACTATGTTCTCCCGGGAGAATATAGTGTAGTTTGTAAAAAAATTCAAAAAAGTTTGTAAACAGATCATGTCCCATTAAAAAAACGGTTATGAAATTCCTCAAATCTAAGAGAATGACTATACTGAAATAAAAAGAGAACCTTGTCAAATCTTTTTTTTTTTCTATTTTGGAATAAAAACGGCATGATCTCACTTGAACAGCAATTACAAGAATTTGATTTTAATATAATCACATTCAGAATAATTTACAATCTTATATTATCCTCAAATCATACGATACTAACTATTTAAACATGAGATATAGAAGTTCCAAAAAAAAAAAAAAACAAAGGAGATATAGAGAAAATGACTATAATGAAATAAAAAGAGAAATAAAACCTTGTCAAATTGTTTTTTTTTTTTTCTTTTTGGATGAAAAGCGGCACGATCTGGCGTGAACAATAATTACAAGAATTTAATTTTAATATAATCACATTCAAAATAATTTACAATCTTACATTATCACCAAATCATACGATACTAACTATTTAAACATGACATATAGAGAAAAAATATATACTAGAATAAAAAAGGAAATTAATTAATATTAAGTATGTATAAGATAATATACTTATTCATAATAAAAACGGATGGCTAAAAATAATCTTAAAAAAAGTGGCTCACTAAATGTATATTAAAAAAAAAACTTATTCATAATAAAAATGAATAGTAAAAATAAAAATTTAAATAATAATTATTTTATTTCATCTTACTTCCTCGATCGGTTTGTATTCTGATAAACATAATGTATTATTGTTTTCAAATAATTTTTGAAACAATTGATGCACACAAATAATGTCATCTATTTACGATGAAATTGTGAAATGTATGTATGCACAAAGTAAATATCCTGTCAAAGTTTCTACCAAAAAATAAATAAATTCGGTCAAAATAAACAAACTAAAAATATTCAGTCAAAGACCAATCGAAAGGAAACCATGAATTTTTCAATTGATGTAAGAAATAAAAGCCCAATTTTCATGCATGAGATTATTCCAGATTTTCTTTGCATTATATATATATTTTTGAAAAGATGATAGAATAAAGATATCAAAAGAAACAGAAAAAGGGTGAAATACAGAATGAAAAACAAATAAATAAAAAGGACGCAACACGCGGGACAAATTTTGTTTGTAAATACACATATTTCAAAATAGTGAAACTTGTGATTATGAAAGAAAAAAAATAACGATTCTGAAATAAAAAGAGAAAGAAATCCTTGTCAAATATACACGAACGAAAAAGGAAATTAATTAATATTAAGGATGTATAAATAATATACTTCAATAGCATATTTTGTTTATAAAAAAATCAAAGATTATTTAAATATTAGCTTATTATGTAGGTTTATTAATAGTAATAAATTTTTAAAGGTATAAGAATAATAATTTTTAAACATCCACCGTTGTATAATTGTATTTACAATTAAGTATACGCCTGAAGAAAAAGTACCTATACGATTATCAGAGTAAACCTCTTCAATCCAACAATCAATAAAATTCATCAGATACCATTATCAATTTTCCGATACGATCATTTATTATCTGATATTATTGTATCTATTTTTTTTTTCCTCTTCAACAATCAGCTGGCTCAAATAATAATCAAATCTTGTAGGATATCAGGGAAACTAACTCTACTCAAAAGAATTAATTAGGATTGAGATTAACTCAAAAAATATAAATATAAAAATATTTGACGTGCACCCTCCCGCTCTTTTCAAACATCTAAACCTGATTGAAGGCGCTCTTAGGAGAGCGAATAATAGCCTGAGGACAGGACCACGGTTTGAAGCTCTAACCGATAGTATAAAACAACAACGAGCGAGACTGAAATGAGTGTTTTCTTTTCTTGCGGACAAAGCATTAAAGGAAACAGCTAAACAAGAACCGGGCTTGTTTGGTTAACGTAGTTTCTTGTTGTTCTTTGATAGGTTTCAGCGTTCTTGATCGTTTTTCTTGGCTTCTTGTCATACGGTTCGGTGATATACGGCGTTCTTGATCGTTTTCTTGGCTTCTTGTTATACGGGTATATACGGCGTTCGTTCTGAACTGTGGTTGAAGATGTTACGATGTACTAAGGCTGTCGTGTCTCAGAATCAGACTCCAATGACGGTTGAAGATGCTAAGCGTTACGGGAACAGGAAAAGAAAGCTTCTTGTCAATGAGAGAGTCGAGGTAAGGCTATATAGTTTTTTTTTTTAAATAAAGATATAGTATTCTTTTGTTCATGAATTTCTTGGGTCGTGATTTTCGTTGTATGTTTTGTACTTTTCTGCTTTCCTTGTAATGCTATATAGTTTTTTTTTTTTAAATAAAGATATGGTATTCTTTTGTTCATGAATTTCTGGGGTCGTGATTTCGTTGTATGTTTTGTACTTTTCTAGTTTCCTTGTAATGCTATATAGTTTTTTTTAAATAAAGATATGGTATTCTTTTGTTCATGAATTTTTGGGGTCGTGATTTTCGTTGTAAGTTATATACGGCGTTCGTTCTGAACTGTGGTTGAATGTTACACTGTACTGAGGTTGTCGTGTCTCAGAATCAGTCTCCAATGGCGGTTGAAGATGTTAAGTGTTCCGGAAAGAGGAAAAGAAAGCTTCTTGTCAATGAGAGAGTCGAGGTAATGCTATATAGTTTTTTTTTAAATGAATATATGATCTTTTTTGTTTATGAATTTCTTGGGTTTTGATTTTCGTTGTATGTTTTTTACTTTTCTGTTTTCCTAGTAATGCTATATAGTTTTTTTTTTTAAATAAAGATATGGTATTCTTTTGTTCATGAATTTTTGGGGTCGTGATTTTCGTTGTATGTTATATACGGCGTTCGTTCTGAACTGTGGTTGAATGTTACACTGTACTGAGGTTGTCGTGTCTCAGAATCAGTCTCCAATGGCGGTTGAAGATGTTAAGTGTTCCGGAAAGAGGAAAAGAAAGCTTCTTGTCAATGAGAGAGTCGAGGTAATGCTATATAGTTTTTTTTAAATGAATATATGATCTTTTTTGTTTATGAATTTCTTGGGTCGTGATTTTCGTTGTATGTTTTTTACTTTTCTGTTTTCCTAGTAATACTATATACTTTTTTTTAAATAAAGATATGGTATTCTTTTGTTCATGAATTTTTGGGGTCGTGATTTTTGTTGTATGTTATATACGGCGTTCGTTCTGAACTGTGGTTGATTGTAACACTGTACTGAGGTTGTCGTGTCTCAGAATCAGTCTCCAATGGCGGTTGAAGATGTTAAGTGTTCCGGAAAGAGGAAAAAAAAGCTTCTTGTCAATGAGAGAGTCGAGGTAATGCTATATAGTTTTTTTAAAATGAATATATGATCTTTTTTGTTTATGAATTTCTTGGGTCGTGATTTTCGTTGTATGTTTTTTACTTTTATGTTTTCCTAGTAATGCTATATAGTTTTTTTTTTAAATAAAGATATGGTATTCTTTTGTTCATGAATTTTTGGGGTCGTGATTTTCGTTGTATGTTATATACGGCGTTCGTTCTGAACTGTGGTTGAATGTTACACTGTACTGAGGTTGTCGTGTCTCATAATCAGTCTCCAATGGCGGTTGAAGATGTTAAGTGTTCCGGAAAAGGGAAAAGAAAGCTTCTTGTCAATGAGAGAGTCGAGGTAATGCTATATAGTTTTTTTTAAATGAATATATGATCTTTTTTGTTTATGAATTTCTTGGGTCGTGATTTTCGTTGTATGTTTTTTACTTTTCTGTTTTCCTAGTAATGCTATATAGTTTTTTTTTTTTAAATAAAGATGTGGTATTTTTTGTTCATGAATTTTTGGGGTCATGATTTTCGTTGTATGTTATATACGGCGTTCATTCTGAACTGTGGTTGAATGTTACACTGTACTGATGTTGTCGTGTCTCAGAATCAGTCTCCAATGGCGGTTGAAGATGTTAAGTGTTCCGGAAAGAGGAAAAAAAAGCTTCTTGTCAATGAGAGAGTCGAGGTAATGCTATATAGTTTTTTTTGAAATGAATATATGATCTTTTTTGTTTATGAATTTCTTGGGTCGTGATTTTCGTTGTATGTTTTTTACTTTTCTGTTTTCCTAGTAATGCTATATAGTTTTTTTTTTAAATAAAGATGTGGTATTCTTTTGTTCATGAATTTTTGGGGTCATGATTTTCGTTGTATGTTATATACGGCGTTCATTCTGAACTGTGGTTGAATGTTACACTGTACTGATGTTGTCGTGTCTCAGAATCAGTCTCCAATGGCGGTTGAAGATGTTAAGTGTTCCGGAAAGAGGAAAAAAAAGCTTCTTGTCAATGAGAGAGTCGAGGTAATGCTATATAGTTTTTTTTTAAATGAATATATGATCTTTTTTGTTTATGAATTCCTTGGGTCGTGATTTTTGTTGTATTTTTTTACTTTTCTGTTTTCCTAGTAATGCTATATAGTTTTTTTTTTAAATAAAGATATGGTATTCTTTTGTTCATGAATTTTTGGGGTCGTGATTTTCGTTGTATGTTATATACTGCGTTCGTTCTGAACTGTGGTTGAATGTTACACTGTACTGAGGTTGTCGTGTCTCAGAATCAGTCTCCAATGGCGGTTGAAGATGTTATGTGTTCCGGAAAGAGGAAAAGAAAGCTTCTTGTCAATGAGAGAGTCGAGGTAATGCTATATAGTTTTTTTTAAATGAATATATGATCTTTTTTGTTTATGAATTTCTTGGGTCGTGATTTTCGTTGTATGTTTTTTACTTTTCTGTTTTCCTAGTAATGCTATATAGTTTTTTTTTTAAATATAGATATGGTATTCTTTTGTTCATGAATTTTTGGGGTCGTGATTTTCGTTGTATGTTATATACGGCGTTCATTCTGAACTGTGGTTGAATGTTACACTGTACTTAAGTTGTCGTGTCTCAGAATCAGTCTCCAATGGCGGTTGAAGATGTTAAGTGTTCCGGAAAGAGGGAAAAAAAGCTTCTTGTCAATGAGAGAGTCGAGGTAATGCTATATAGTTTTTTTTAAAATGAATATATGATCTTTTTTGTTTATGAATTTCTTGGGTCGTTATTTTCGTTGTATGTTTTTTACTTTTCTGATTTCCTAGTAATGCTATATAGTTTTTTTTTTAAATAAAGATATGGTATTCTTTTGTTCATGAATTTTTGGGTTCGTGATTTTCGTTGTATGTTCTGTACTTGTCTGTTATCTTTTTAATGCTATATAGTTTTTTTCTTTTTTCTTTTTTCTTTTTAAATAAAGATATGATCTTTTTTATTTATGAATTTCTTGGGTCAATTTTTTCTTTTGTTTTGTACTTTTCTGTGTTCTTTTAGGTAATTTTTTGGGTTGTTTGTTTTCTTGGATTACACAATTGGTCTATTGTTGTTACGCCAATAATTTATAAATCTTTTAAAGTTTTTATGGGCTCTCTGTTATTGTGTTTGTATCTTTGTTTACAACTCCTCGATGTCCTGTTATGTTTACAACTCTTCGATGTCTTGTTGTCAATTTATGGTTACAATATGTTTCCACGATGAAAACCCTTCTGATTGTTGGCTTCATGATTGAATTCCCATTCACAGTTTGCTTTGATTGTCTCGAGCCTTGTTCATGCAAGTGTTGAATTTTGGCACTGTTTATGACAAAACATTACGTGGATTCAATGTTATTTTCATGTCTCAGTATTTCCCTTATTATCATTTGCATTTCTTTTTCTACTACTTTATGTATAACATGAACTCGATGATCTTTTCATCTGAAATTTCCAGTTAAAGAAATTGAAACATTAATTTTTTTTATTTACTTTATTTTCAGATTAGGAGTATAGAAGATGGTTTTTTGGGCTCATGGCACCAAGGCATAGTTATCGACTGGGCGAAGCAGAAGCGTCGTGTCAAATATGACAACATTTTTGAAGAAGGTGGATCAAATCATCTTGTGGATGTGGTAGAGGTTTCACCCGTTTTGGATGGTGGTAGTTCTTCTTCTTTTTCTTCTGCAGATGGTTGCAATGAACGTGGGCTCATTAGACCCCTGCCTCCTCTGATTGAATTCGGGGTATGGGACCTTCCATTTGGTCTATGTGTTGATGCATTATACGAGGAAGCTCAGTGGGAAGGTGTTATATTTGATCACTGCAATGGAATGGAGGAAAGGAGCATATTCTTCCCAGATTTGGGTGATGAACTGAAGATTGGAATTCATCAATTGAGGATCACTCAAGTTTGGAATGAAGCTACTGGGAATTGGGAGCCACGAGGGAAGTGGATGCTTCTTGAAGTGATTGAGGAGTGTGAGCAGTTTTCCTATATTGGAGTTTCATTTAAGCAAATTTGGTTTGATTTAAGGAATCATAAGGAATTTGATAAAATAAGGGACTGGACTTGTAATGTGAAAGACTTGTGGAGAGACCTTGTAAGGGAGATAGTTGGTGATTACTTTGCTTTCTTGAAAGAAACACCAGAGCTGGAGTCAGTTGAACATACTGATATTGTTCATTGTGATGCTAGTCCTAGTAATGTACTTGGTTCTAAAATTGGAATATCTGATTGCCCTGTGGAAAGTGGTGACTCTACGAACTTGATAGATACCGATCAAAACGGTGGTAGCATCATTTTCCTTCAAGAGAAATATGATACAAATCCTTTGGTGGATGGTGCATCAGAAAAAGAAATTGTGTTGGTAGAAGAACCTGAGTCTCAAAATGAAAGAAGTGAAAAACGTAGACGCTCTACGTCCATATATTGGCAACCTCTGGTGCTATCTGAAGTTGAATTTTGTCCTAATGTTATTAATCAATATGGAGCTGGATGTGAGAGCAAGATGACCAGGGAAGGTTTGAAGACAAAAGTAAGAAAACATCTAGCGTATCTTGGATGGAAAATTGAGTGGACTATACACAAAAATTGTCCTAGGCAAAGACGATACAGGTACAAGTCACCAAATACACAGGATAAGAAGGTTTACTATTCAATTCCTCAAGTTTGTAGTCATTTGAAAAAGGAGTCCAACATGAATTCTGTGTTGTCCCAAAAACACCAGAGCAGGATGCTGTCCCAAAATGTTCATCATCCGATTGGGGCATCCTATCCTGTCGAAAATGTAGCTGAATCACATACTCCAGGTGGTTTACCAATTGGGAATACAAATCATAAACGCAACACGAAATCAAAGGCCTGCCCACCAAAGCACAAGAGGAATGGATTACCTACAAGGGTGCAGAATGTAAATTCCCCTTGTTTGTCTCATCAAAATGTTTTGTCTTGGTTAATAGAAAGCAACATGGTATTGCCAACATCTAAGGTCTACTATCGGGGAAAAGGAGGCAAGAACACTCACGACATTGAAGGGAGGGTAACTCTTGATGGAATCAAGTGTGGCTGTTGTCAGAATGTATATACACCTGGTGCCTTTGCATTTCATGCTAGTGGCTGTTATGACTGCAGGCCTTGTGCTAATATCTTTTTGAGGGATGGTAGGTCACTCTTGGATTGCATGATACAACTAATGCATAAAAATTGGGCAGAGGAAGCTTTGGAAAAACAATGCAATGATCTGTGTCAAGGTGAAAGTGACAATTGTTCTGTTTGTCATGATGGTGGTGAACTTATTTTATGTGACAAATGCCCGCCTTCATTTTATATGGAGTGTCTTGGTTTAGAGGTATATTAATTGTTTTCCTTCTCAATCATGTCATATTAAATGTTATCTTGTGGTTACTTCAATTCTGTACTTTCATACCAATAACTGGTCTTGGTTCTGTTTGTGTAGGATATCCCTGATGGTGACTGGTTTTGTCTATCATGTCGTTGCCGGATTTGCAACGAAATCAAAATCCAAGGGACTGAAGATGGAGATTTTCTTACTTGCATTCAATGTGAACATAAGTGTAAGATGATAATTCCTTTTGTGTGCATTAATGCATATGTTGATGAATATTGTAATGCTTATAGTGTCATATTTGTCAACCCTATGCAGATCACATTGGATGCCTGAGAAAAAGACCAGGAGATAAATCAAGAATATATTTGAAAAATTGGTTATGTGGAGAAGAGTGTGAACAGGTACATTATATCCACCTCCCTTCTTTCTTCTATCTATGTTTGCGAAAAATTTAATCATAATTTTCCTAAAGAATTGAGATTTCTGCCTTTTCTTGGATTTATTAAGATTTTAGATTCCTAGAAAGCATTACTTTACCATTTTTTATCACAACAATATTAAATTGTTGACCATTATTTCCTCTTATGTACCTGAGGTTTAATAGAATTAATGCTTTCTAGTCTAGGAATGAGCTCTTTATTCAGATTAGGCTTGCTTTCAATTATGTTTTCATTTAATAGATAATTAGCTAGTCAACAATGCGTGAATTTTGTGATAGGTAAAGGTTAAAGTTTAATGCCAATGAAACATTTAAGGCTGTGTGTGATCAGTATACACTGCTAGAAATATTTTTAGGACATTGGTTACACTCAATATTTATTTGTGTATATTTTTTTTGCAGATATATGCAGGCATTCATCAACTATTAGGAAAACCAATTTTAGTGGGTGCCGACAACCTAACTTGGACATTAGTGAAGTGTGTCAACTCTGAGAGTTGTGATGTTGGTGGTACTAAAATTGACTTGTTGGCAGAGAGTTACAGCAAACTCAATGGTGCACTTTCAGTGATGCATGAATGTTTTGAGCCCTTAAAGAACCCTTACTCTAACAGAGATCTCATGGATGACGTTATATTCGGTAGAAGGTCAAAAATTCTTATCCTTCAATTCATGTTCATAATATATGTTTAAAATTCTTAGCATATTGTGTTTGTGTCACACTCATTATTCATGCTTAAAACCTCTTGTCTTCATAATTTAAATGATGCTTGGAGTATTGTTTGAAGAGTAAAGCAAGGGATTTTGGTAGTTTGTTTGAAAGATGGTTCTGGTGGGAAAATTCTTTGTCTTCCTGTGCTCATTTGTTTTCAATGTCAAAGGATTTATTTTCTTGGGATTGAGGGTAATCTTGGTAGGTGATTCATAGATATGGGGATTTGTTACATTTAAAACGAAAAGATCGTGTGCAATCTTCACTCATTTAACATTCATACCAATTACTAACGAATTTGTTTACAAGTATAAATTATCATATGTGATCGTAATACCTTTCTCTAAGTTGTGTTGCATTATTGGTATAATCTCTGAGCCAACGCCTGATATTTGTACTTTGGAACTTGTAGGTCGGAGCTTAATAGATCAAATTTCCAGGGTTTCTATGTTGTAATTATGGAGAGAAATGAAGAATTGGTTAGTGTGGCAACTGTTAGGTGAGTATAGGATATGCTACTAATTAGTATCTAGCAGATCATGTAATTGCATTTCCTGTTTTAGTTGCAGTTTTTTATACCTAGACATTTCATGATATACTGACTTGCCATTTCATTTTCTAGGATATTTGGACGAAAGGTAGCAGAAGTACCTCTCGTAGCTACCAGATTTATGTATCGTGGACTTGGAATGTGTCGTATTTTAATGGATGAGCTTGAAAAGGTAATATATAAAGCACACAAATTTATGTATGAACACATTGATTTCTTGAAAATTAAAAAAGAAATATATATATATTTCCTACTTCATTGATTCTGTCATATATAATGCAATTTTCTTTTTGGGCAATCACTTAACTGCTCAGCACCCTACTTCATAAAGCATGGTAGGACTAAAGTAGTGGAAGATTTTTCCTTTTTGAGTCATAAGAACACTCCAATCTCTATTAAAAGTTTAGGTTTCATCACTATGCATATAATCGTTTTAACTTCATCCATATTGTATATTATCATTATAGAATTGTGAGATTGCCATACCATATAGTCACTGGAGTTGAAAATGTCTGTATTCAGTTCTGATGTAGAATTTGTCTGCTATGTATTGAAACTGATTACAATCTCAAACTTTACTTTAGTAAAAAATCCACAGTTTCAGTAATTTCTTTAGTATGGTTTTCTGACTTGAATTTTTATTTCATCAGAAACTCATGCGACTAGGAGTGGAGAGGATAGTTTTGCCTGCTGTTCCTAATATGCTTGAAACATGGACCAAATCTTTTAATTTCGTGAAGATGACAAGTTTTGAAAGATCACAGTTTTTGGATTACGCTTTCCTAGATTTTCCAGGAACTGTTATGTGTCAGAAGCTGTTGACAACTCTTCCATCCCAGATTTGACTTTAACAAGAGCTTTGTAAGTTTGTTTTTGCAAAGGATATAAGTAAACAGTTTCCTCATTAGTTGGATTACAACTTTAATGTTTCATATTGCAGAGAGCCATCAAGATCTACGCGGTTATTTCTCTGTCAGTGTAGAATTGGTTTTGATAAGTCCAGTCCCCAATATAAAGTTGACCAAGAAGAAGAGATTCACAAGAGTGGAATGATGGAAATGCAAGTGGAGGAGTACGTCTAAGTTCTAACTATAGAATAAAATACATCTGATATTGTATGGGAGATAGACTGTAATGACAATCTGAATAATTCTTTTAGATGTTAACGTAAAATTTGTTTTCATGGTAATTGATGTTCTTGTTGGAACTTTAATGAAAGAAAAATAATAACAAAAAGGCTGCACTTGTATTATATAAAATTTGACAAAACCTCTCTTCACTCTTTTTCTCAACAGTGCTGCGACACCTTTGTTTTTTTAACAACAATTCTATTTCTTTTTATTCACTCATATCAAACACATAGTACATTCAACTATTTATATAGCTTGGCCAAAAAGTTGCACCGTTTTTCATCCACCGCTTTCTAATAACTTAACACCTCTTACTAACAAAATTAACACTAGGACAACTTCTAACTTGACACCTATTAAAACAAGGATAGCTATGACACCTTTTACTTAATACAATCACACCTAACCATATCGCTTGTGCATTAGTTACACATCACAATTTTGTTTTTTTCAAGTATTGTAGATCCTTCTAGCAGAGGCGGTAGAGTTTGTACTTTCTAACACTTTCCCTCAAACTCAACTTTGCATTCCAATCATTTCTTTGAATTTGTTGAACATATCCGCCTGCAATGGCTTCGTAAAAATATCAGCTAGTCGTTCTTCAGTTCTGCAATAAATTAATTCCACAACTTTATTTTTGACTTGCTCCCCAATAAATTCTTATTTTGTGTCAGTGTGTTTGCTTCGGCTATGGGAGACTGGATTCTTTGCAAGTGATATTTTCAAAATTTTATTTGCAATATAAAAATATATGGAATAACTATTCCTCTTAGTATCCTTAACTAAAAAATATTTCTCAGATAGGAAATTTCGGATGTTCCTGACGCCTACTGAATCATCAACATTACTATAACTGTACTTGTTACTTTCATTCCAATTATAAAAGGTTTTATCCGTATCCGTAAAAATCGGGTGTTCACTTAGATTGGCATTTTCAATAGGACCAAAACGATCCGCCGATTCACTTAACCCGCACCCGTATTCTAATTCTCTATTAAACAACATAGAATTGAACCACCATTTTTCCATAGAGCTTTTTTCCCATATTTACACCAAAATACAATAGATGAATAATCATTCGATGAAAAATCATAATCATATAAGTATTCTATTTTAAATATTATATATCATTTATTTACTATAAAAAAAACCTCATTTATTTTTAGACCCAATTAGTCATTATGAATTTCCTTTTTCCTATTATATATATTTTATTCTACCCCTAATCCATTTTTTTTTTTTTTTTTTAATAGATAGAAATATATTTTTGTGGCTATAGAAAACGACATTGTATGTCAACAACAAAATAGAAAAAATAAGGTATGAATAGAACAAGAGAACGAAGGGGGATAAAATAGAAAAGAGTTATCAAAATCTATATACAAGTCATCCACGCCTTCTTTTCTTATTTCTTTAATTGAATTTCATTTGTTGATTAGGACAAAATTCCATAAAAACACCCGCTATAACACCTCACATTTTTAAGTTTAAATATTAATATGTTAAATGAGAATTAGAGGGAAAGAATAGTAAAAATCCTGAAAAGAAGGTCGAAATACGTAAAACGGTAAATTGACAAATGGTTGTTAACCTTGTTACCAATTAATTTTACTTAGTATAAACTAAAGTGTGTAGAGGAAATATAAACTAAATGGTATATTTTTAGTCTCACAAGTAGGTGAATCATTTCCAAATCAATTTCTAAGTCCTTTTGGTGTTTCGTCGTTAATGTCATTGCCTTGTCTTAATGAGATAACAAATCAATAAAGGAAAATCCCTTTTGAATTCCCTAGGCGGTGATGTGATGAGAATTTAGCTGGCCTTAGATTTCATTAATTGACAAGGGAATTAGTAGAAGCAAGTGAAGCAAGTGCTTGGCGGTGGAGAGCAAAGTGCCCAGCGGTGGAACAAAAGGAAATGAGAAAAGAATTTAATAAGCAAAGTTAAGGTCCTTAGTGTCCCAAAACATCCAAGTCGGTTTCATTGTCTCTCCAAGCACGTGACCAAAAGAAGAATAAAAAGAGTGAGCTCCTTGTCATGCTTAATCAAAGTCGGCAAAGGAACCAATAAGGAAAAGGATTCTGAATTCTTAAGTCATCCAGGTCGGTTCTCCCTTGTCCAATACAAACAAGTCGGTCCTCTTTTTTTTTCTTATCCCAACATGACCGCCTATAGCTTTTCTTTCTTTCCATACGGCCAAGGAAAATTCTGGCTGCTTAAGATATCAAGTCGGTTTTCACTTTGTTCAAAGCATCAAGCAGCTGAATTGTTTCTTCTCCATCAACCAGCAGCTGCAACCGAGGAAAGGAGAGAAAGAGGTAAGTCCTAAGTAGGTTCTAAACATCATAGACGGTTCCTTTTCATTAGCCAAGCCCATGACCACCTCTTGTTGTGTTTCTTTCTTGCATACAGCAAGGAGAATTTGGATGGGAATAAGGCAATAAAGAATGGAACTAATGGACAAGCAAGTCAATGAAGCAACTTGAGCGAGCCTTGTGATTGTAGTCGGTTATCTCTTTGTTTTTCTTTTTGACATCAAGCAGCTGAAATTTCCCTTCAAAACCGTAGCAGCCCAAGGGAGTTAAGAGGAGCTTGTGAGTAACTTCTTGTCCCTAAAATGCTTAGTTACTTTGAGGAAAAGAATCCTTGTGTTCTTGTGGTCATAACCTTGTATTTTCCTCTTCTTGATAACTGGTAAAAGATGAGTTTCCAATCATATATCATCCGCACCAAGGGGCTGACTTTGGATGGAGTTTCATTTAAATATGTTATGGCTTGATGGTTGATGAATTCCTTGGATTGAAGTGCAAAAATATGGTTATATTTGAAAAAAAATCATGAACTTTGAAATAGGCCAATTCGGCCAAGAGGAGAAAATTGTGTAAACAGTATGTTAATAAAATTCTAGGTGGAAGTGGATGTTGGTTTCTATAAGTTTAGATGATGTTATGAAGTGTATATTAAGTTATATAAGTGGTCAAGTCATGAGTGAGTTGGTAGAAAATTAAATGAAAAATAATTTAAGTGTATGCGGTGTGCTTTTGAACCTAGAAGAAATAATTGGGAAAATGAGTTTTTGACGTTTTCGTATTCTGACAGAAATGCCATATATTGATGATTCGTACATGGTTGTTGTAGGTTGCCGTACGTTGATTTGAACCCCGAATCGTGAGCTCGGTAGATTGTCCTTGGCCCTGGATCAAGTGGGATTGAGGTGAGTAGTTGGAACCATGCTTGTGTAATTAATAACTTGCATGTGTTCATATGAACGGTAATTAATTGAGAATGTTCTCTGTGTAGGCATTTCTGTGGTATAACGAGCTCGAGAAATATATTACGTTGGAGCTACGTGGAGAGGATTATTCAGGTAACCTCTTGGTACTGGGGCTTGTTCCCCTTGTGTGTTCCACCATGCCGTTGAGGGTGATGGTAGGAAATGTATATGAGTAATGTAGAATAACATGATCATGCATTTAGTATGTATGTTGGTACATAGGTACCGAGTCTCGGGCCAGCAGACAGTTTTGCCTTCGGGTGTTTCGGACTTCCACTGGATAGGTCTTCGAGAGGGAGTTCCAGTTGACCTAGGGTCGTGGTGTGTGATCCGGGTAGGAGCACACTAGGAAGTCTCGGGTGTATGCGGATGGGAGGGTTACCTTGGTTTGATGTTCTAGGAACATGCCTTGGATGAGACCTATAGGCTTATATGCCGAGGACATTGCGTGGTGTTGGTAGCTACCATTTCAGCTTCGTCGTATTTTATACCCTATGATCCCCGATTTCACTAAATCCCTTGTTGTATCCTGTTTTCAAGAAGTTATTTTATATTATTTATATGCATCGAAGTGAATCATTGGGCGGAGTATTCTCCAGAACCTCTGGGTTATTGAGATATATTCGTATATCACACCTCGTCTCGGGGATTTTATTTCAGGAGGTAGCAGTGGTGCAGGAGCGGCGGGTAAGAAGCCCGCATGATGATTAGCTAGAGTATTTGCAGTATTTTGCATTTTGGTGGCCACTAGGCCTAGGCTAGACTTAGGGCATGAACATTCCATATGTATGTAGGATGAGATTCATTGTCATATTTGTTCATGTCATTTTGCCTAAGTCTAGTACATATATCATTTTGAGGTTTTTACATTATGTTGTATTTGAAGACTTTGAGTTGTAAAGTGTAATATGCATATAGAGATTGTAAAATGTACCTGAATAGTTGATGTAATATGTAAGCATGTAATATGAAGGAAGGGCAATAGGCCTATTTTAGGAACATGATTATGTGTATGTTTAGAAGATGCATGCAATTGGACTTTGATGATTGAAACATATTAAGTATTAATCCAAGAAGCAATGTGATATGTATTATATAAGCAAAATAAACTGTGTTGGGTTGTAAGTGCCCCAAGGCATTGTTGGTCCTTGTGTGTGCCACCCACTGATTATTAGGTACTATTTGAGGTCATAGATCACTTGTACAAATTTGGGAAACGTTGGAAAAACAAAGGAAATTCTGGCAAATTTTTTAGAAACTGACAATTTTAGGCGAACTTTGGGAGAGCATATCTCCTTCCACAGAGGTTCGATAGGAACGTGCCATATGCCATTTTAAAGCTTGAGATGTCCCCTACATGATATTAAAATATTATAATTTTTCTGGGTTGAACGCAACCCTGTAGAATACTGTGAACACAGATTGTCCAGAACCCTCTTGTGTAGGGGCTGTTTTAGGCAGTTTTCGGGAATATTATTCCCGCTTCGTTTCTCAGTCAATTTAAGCATATGATATATCAAATTGAAGGTTGAGGTGTCTAGTTTGTCGTATAAAAAGTTGAGAGAAATTGGATGAGTGGATTTTCTGCAGTAATTCGTGGAGTGAGAGATGTTTAGAGCTGTTTCCCTTTTTGAAATATCCTGAACGGTTCCTGTAGGTTGAGCGCCCTGCTCAAGGA